CTTCTTGCCTGTTGTCAGATTAAATAATAGCAGTTGATCTTCTTTACGTTCCCGCTCCCGCTCCGGCTCATGTTCACGTTCACGGTTCTCGTTGGAAAAGGGCGACTGCCCGGCTATTATCCATCGATCCATCGCAGGAAGGAATGGATCTTAGATGCTGCGGACGACCGCTTTCGCAGCTGCGGGGGGCGTGCAACCTGCCATTGCCTAGTGGAGGAGAAAGAAGAAAGAAAGTCAGTATGTATATGTACCAGAAACGTTAGGCCACGAAAGAGAGAGAGAGAGGGAGAGAGAGAGAGGAGGGAGGGAGAAAGGGCGAGCAAGACATACCGCCGCCAAATTCTTCTGTTCTGATCAATTCCCCCCGCAAAGTCCTTCTTCAGCGTCTCAACGGTCTTCATCCCGGTCGCGGTGTCGACCTGGCCGCTGGCGGGGATAGCGAGGCTCATAGTGAGGTTCAGCTCCTCCATCTGGGCCATGGCGACCATGGCCAGGCCGGCGGTGGCGCCGTTGCCGACCGGCGTGATCTTCTGGTTGTTCTGCCGGATAGCGATGCCCTTGTTGACGTAACCGAGGAGCGACGCCTGGGTCGCGGCGTAGAGGGTGGTGTCGACGGGGCTCTGGGACATGACGTTGCCGATGGCGTTGACGGTGGCGACTTCGTTGTTTTGGTCGTCGATGTTGGATCTGGTAAGGAGTTGTTAGTATATATGTGTATGAGTGTGTATATATATATATATATTATCGAGGATATGAGGTGATGATGATGTGAAGATAAGGAAGAGGATAGACGAACTGGATGCCTTCTGCCAATGCCATGACTTCTTTGCTGCAAGCAGCGGCGGTCGTCGTCCCATTAGCTGCCGGCGTAGTCACTCCTCCACCTGGCATCTGCGGCTCGCGTGTCGAAAGGAAGGCTTTGGGGACTTTGTTATTAACCGCAGGGAAGAGAGCAGGCATAGCGAGGGCAGTGCTGGCGAATGCTGCCGCAGTGATGATCGAAGCTTGGAAATGCATTGTGAAGATGGGACCGGCTCGCGGTGTATTAGGTAAGTACAAAGTGATTATAACGAGAAAGTAATAGATAGGTAGGGAAGAATTAGAGAGAGAAAAAAACCGAGTGGATGGATCGACCTGTCGAGCTAAGTAATTGATTTGATGATCTGGGTGGGTATTAGGTGGCCGTCGCTGGTCTTCTATATACGATACGACGGATGAATGGAAACTCTCGCATAACCAATTTTGGATTTTTGGATTGGATGAGACTTCTTCGAGCAGTAGCTTGAGACAGCTCGAGATCGGAACAGGAGTTATGATCTGACCTGTCACGAAGCCAACTCGTCCACGCCAGGCCCAGCAGAAAGATGGGATGGATGTGGATGGAAAGGAAACACCGAACTTCGGGCAAAAAGGGTTTTGGTAGAAATCGCATGAGGCCGAGAGAGGAGGATAGGTTTGTCATCGTTTCAGCGCGAATATGGAAGCGCAGGATGCCGAAGATCTGTCGTAGCCTGGCCTCCTGGCTTCCTGGCTTCCTGGCTCCGTCTTCTCTAACCGGGGACCGTATCCAGGGTCTTTGGAACGATCTCCAGATGGTTTTGTCGCGGAGATAAAATTCCTTTACGCACAGCCCCTCGGGAGTCTAAGTAAATAAGCTTCTGTTTCAACGCCTCGCCGCTCACGACCATTTAAGGAACTATCCGCGAGCTGCTAGTAAGCACCGAAGTTTCATACACTCACTTCGATGTCTCTTATATTTAATGGCATTTGAGCAATTCGTACCGACATAGATAATAATTGGCCGTGGTTCCGTATACCAGTAGTCAGTGCATAGTCAATGCACTCCTTAAGCGCTTTAGCGAACTGCATGAACTCTACGCCACGGTACTTACTCATGCGGCTAACATACCTATTTGTCCCCATATCGAAAGATCATCCCAAATATGAAGTCGAGTTTACTACTTCGTAGATTTACGCTCAATCAAAAAGGCCAATGCATAAGGACAGATGTACCAGCCGCACGAAGATCACAAACGGAAAATACTTCGCCAAGTGCATAATTTCGCCATCTGGGAAAAGCCAGAGTAGAAATATAATTCTATCCTATTATATATCTCTCCTTTTTCAAATATTATTTCCTTTTCTTCTACTTCTTATTTGTCTATCCACCTGCTTACATACGCAAAGCGCAGCCAGCATCAAATTTCATACATCATAGCGGATGGCGATCATATCTTTCCCGGCCGCTAGTAAAAAAACGCCGTCCTATGCCGCTAAATCGCAATAGATCTCATCCACCACCCTCTCGTCAAATTAATATCAATCCCCCGTCCTCCCTTTGCTCACTCTGCGCTCAATCCACCCGCCCTCCTCCTCCCGACCCCCCTGCGTCGCCCCCTTAATATTCTCCAGAATAACACTGAGCCAGCGACTCAATCTCCTCATCGGCGTATCTGCCCCATGACCATCGCCATCTCCCAGGACCCCTTCATCTCTGAGCAGCAAATCTCCCTCCTTCATCGGGTCCACCATCGTCCTCAGCTGAGGGGAAAAACTGAGGGTGATCGGGTACAGAATGCCGAAACAGTACAGAGCGAGGACAATGCAGAAAGAGTATTGTATTGTTCGCTTGTTCACGCGCTGAACAGCCAGCATCACAAGTGGGAAGACGGCGCCCCCGCATGCTGCAGCAGTGAGGAGACTGGCACCCATCTTCGTCTTCTTCCCCAGGCCTCTCAGTCCCGTCACAAATATCAGCGGCCATATGGGACCTTCGAAGAAGAGGAGTACCAACACGGGTCCAGCAATGCCATTCCCGTCTGTGGAAATAGACATCGTGAGAGCGGCGAAGATGATCGTTCCGACGAAAGTCACCAACAGCAGAAGACGCGGGGTGATGAACAGACACAGTCCAGCGAAGATGAAGCGACCCAGCGAGAACGTGGCGTGCCCGACCAGGCCGTAGTTTGCAGTGTCGAGGGTCAGAGGTTTTCGGGTTTCGCCGGAGAGTTGGTACAGGAGATGGCCGAACCATATTGACACTGACTCCTGCGCTCCAACGTACAGGAACTGGGTGACAAGTGCTGCTACCAGCGAAGTGGTGATCAAGCTGAACTTGAGTTTTGGGATGAGAGTGATGGTTTGCTGGGGGTAGATCCCGAGGCTCTCAGCCTGTGCTTGCAAGTCTTCGTCAGTTGCTTCTGGTAAAGGCATGTAGTAGAAGAATAGGGCTAGGATGACCGTGAACAGTGCAACGGCAAGGTACGTCCACTGCACGTCGATGAGGCTCGGATGTGAGGAGACGTAACGAAACAGAACTTTCTGCGCTAGGAGCTGGCTGAGGATGCTTCCTATGGCTTGGATTGCCTGTGCAGTCAGGAGTCGGGACTCGGCGTACGCACTTGGTCCACAGAGGGCTAGAAACGGGTTCGCTGCAGTCTCAGTGACAGCCAGGCCAAACCCGACCACGAAGGTCGAGATGACGAAGCCTGGAAAGGAGGTAAGCACTGCCGACGGCCAGAACATCAACGTTCCGATCCCGTAGATGATGAGGCCGGTGATAAATGTCACTTTGAAGCCGCCGGCACGCAGAGTCCACTGGCCGACGGTAAGAGGACCGCACAGATACCCAAAGAAATAAGTAGATGACAGTCCCAGGTTTTCGCTCAGTGTCTGGCCTGAGATTCTGGTTATCTCGGCGTTGAGGGTGTTGAGGAGACCGTAAGAGAATCCCCACAGGAAGAAGAGAATCGTGACGAGCGTGCAGTATTTGAAAGACTCGATTCCCTTCGTCTTTAGCATGCTTTTCGGTTTTCTCATGTTGACGAAGCCAAAGTAGACCGTGTTTTCTGTGGCTGCTGTGTGAGCTGTATGTGTTTGAAGCATTCCGGGTTCTCCCATACCATCGGGCATCGTCAAGAAGCCCATCATATCTATCTCAGCGTTTTGATCACTCTCAACGTGGGCTGGGGGTAATGCTTGCAATCCCGCGTTTGATTCTGCCACTGCTGGGTGTTGTGGATCCGCACTTAACTCCTTTGGAAGCCGTGAGGGGATGAATTTTGATCTCCCGGTGCTATTTGTCTGTGAACCTTTCGAAGCACGATCGGTTATCATGGAAGGCAGAATCTTCTTGATCAGAGGCCTCAAGGTAGGAACGCAGGCGCAAATAATCCCCACATTGACTTCTACGGCTGACCACATCAATACCGCACTAACTGTCCAAGAAAAATCTACCCCCGTTCCCAGTCGCAAGTGTACAATGTTTTGATTATCATCTGCTTGCTGCAAGTAATAGATCCGAACGACATCAACAATGGTGACGAAAATACCCAATGCGAACGTGAAAACCAAAACAGTCTTTTGGCGTTGGGGGAGACGGATACCGGTGAGCACCGGGATTGGTAGCACCAGGATCGCGAGGTCGGTGATGATGTTGAAAGGTGCCGAGCACAGGTATAGCGTGACAATCGAGAAGCATTTTTGGTTGGACACGGTTGGGTCGTAAGCAGCTCGCACAGGGTTGCATTGAAATGCGTTCAGGAACGTGAGAACCACGCCTCCAACATTGACAACCGCTAGTGTGACACAAGATGCGATGCGGAGGACGCTCTGGGTATGTCTCGACATCCGCAGGTAGAAGATCAGGATCGAGGTTTTGGTAGCCATCAAGGCAGGGTTCTTAATAAATCTTGAGCAACGCTTCTACAGCCACGGAGGCGAACATACGTAAAGGATCGTAAAGGCATATTCGCTTCCTCGTAGAGCTCCCAGCCAAGACTTGGGTATATCAACGTCGTGTCTTCCCAGGCCCTTCGAGACGCCGAAGTCGATTGCAAAAGATAATCCGAAGGCAAGAAACTGTTTTCCATCAGCATCAGGCCTTGACTTTCCGTCGTATGCATGCAGCTCACCCATGCCAAAATGATAATCCAATCGTCTGCAGTCCTGTGTTTTGTTATGCCAAACCGACTGATCAACCTCGCAACGACAGAGATGGTCGCGAGCACGAAGGTAATCGTCGTCACCACAAACACGGACTTGCCCCGCGAGGGCAGCGTGTGTGGTTCACGCCCCATTATCGCCGACCGGGTCCGTCGTCAAGAGTATATAGATTGTATCCACACCGTGCTCAGGTTCATGGCCGTCGACGAGTCCAAGTCTAGGTCCGGGTCTACATATTCACATCTGCAGATGTATTCCCGCTAGGACTAGCATCCTCCGACTGATGTGGGTCCCGAATCTTCAACCTCTTATAGCCTCTTCGTCTCTCGAGGGTCGCAGTATCGCCGAGAATGCGTTTCTGATGCGGCTCTAGATCTCTCAAGATTGGCAAACCTCAGGGTCCCAGTCCGAGACTCGACGTTGACCGTCTTTTGCGAAGGTTCGTGGTATCTGAAGATGAGCTTCTGAGTTCGTCTCTGGAAGTGAAGTAGGTTGGGGGGAAACGGCGTGAAATGGTGAGAAATGAAGTGAAGTTTAGTAAAGCCATGGCGATACGCCTAGACCAGACCAGACCAGACCATACCAGGCCAGCTAAGCTAGTAGTTGATGGTGGCATCATGGTCCTTCTCCACGAGGTTTAGCTCTGGGCTCTTCCAAAGCTCCTACCGAGTCAACGTACCGACCGGTATGCCGACGCTTCTCCCCCGCTTCCCCATCTCTTCTGCCCGCCACCTGCCTGCCATTCGTCCGTCTGGTCAATAGGGGACTTTCTCATGTCGGGTAAAGTAGGTGGGTTCCATTCAAACGTTGGCTCTGCTGCTGGACCTGCTGGACCTGCTGCACCTGCTGCACCTGCTGCACCTGCTGCACCCCAGCCCATCCACCTGTGATCTCAGTCCGCAGCAGCGAACGAGCTCATCGAGTCAGCGCCGGCGGGCTAATATGCCCTATCCTGGTCCGGGGCATTGGCTAAAGGGGGGTCCCTAGGTACCTAGGTAGCGTGAGAGCAGAGCAGAGCAGAGCCGAGCCGAGCCGAGCAGATTCGAGTCGAGTCCAGTCGAGTCGAGTCCAGTCGAGTCGAGTCGAATAGATCGAGCGTAGGTGGACAGACTATGAGAAGTGCAAAGAAAGAAAACAGTGAAATATACGTAGCAATGCTTCGTTACATCAAATCGTAAAAACAAAAATCACTTTATCGATGACATAAGTAAAAGCTTCCACTTCCCCAGATCCCAGCAGGCCGGATCGGAACTTTCAGCCAGCTTACCTAATCAACCCCGCCCTTCCACATGACTGTGGCATATGACGCACAGACAAGAACAAGCTCGGCCCGATTCCTTACATCCGGTGATCGTGCCCTTTTCTTTCGTCCACGTGACCTGACCCAGCCCAACCATCTTGATCTTCACCTCCCAGAGCCAAACTCGAAAAGTCGAAAAGAGACAGCGTAATTCAGAATGAAGGCTGGGTAAGTGACATATGTAATCGAATGACCAGATAGTTAGCTGATGAAGAGCGGCTAGGTACTTGCGAGTTGACAATGAGATGATAAGAACGGAGAGTTAGTGCCTCTAGACATGTATGTTTGTGATAAGGTCTTCTCTGCTCGTACGTTACAAATATATGTACATACTCAAATACATATATCAATATATATATATATATATATATATATATATATATATATATATATATATATATATATATACTATATATATATA